CAGGAAAAGGGATAGGAATATAAGGATTTACATGTCATTTCAGGATGATTAACCGATACAAATGGTACTTTGTATCCTGACAGGCATTTCTATGGGAACAGAGTTTCTGTGGGAATGACTAGTTTGTCACCAGCCCACTTGAAGGGGACTGAGCAGTAGAACAAATAGTGCTGCTTACCATACCTTTCAGTCATGCTAAAGGAACACTGACATAGCAACACGGCCACTGCAGCATAAATAACGCAGTGTAGGTGACACCAATGGCTGCTCTTAGGCAGCCGTACAGTAGTGGTGTCACCTGCCCCCCACTCAGAAATAAGAATAGGTTCATTGCAGGCAAGCTTTTGTATATTAAAATAATTTATGAGTTACAGTGCTTACTAATGCTGTTGACTTGTAATGAATATACTCAGATGGGTCAAGTAGTGTTTGAGCGTGCTTAGTACCAGTTGTCTGCAGTTGTGTGTACAGCATCTGTGGTTATAATAGAGATAAAGTGACCTCTATGGAATACATGTCAGACTGGTGCATCTGGAAATATATCCTGATAACCATTCTGCATGTGCCCTAGTAGCAGGCCTCTGTTCTATGAATTGCTGCAAGTGACGGGGAATCTGCCGTGTTATTGCAAAGAGCAAAAATAGGGAATTTTTATGTAATATTTCTGTATTGCAGTTTGTTACTCGTGTACAAATGTGTGTGTGTGTGTGTGTGTGTGTGTGTGTGTGTGTCCGTTAATCTTCTGTTTTGAAAGTATAGGACAAATCTGAAGTGTTTTATTAGAGCTATTTGTGATTTTCTATGTTGTTTTTCTCCAGCTGACATTCAAGCCACAGAGAAGCATACCCACTGATGATGGTAAAGAAGAGTTCAAAGATGTGAGAGACAGGGTCGCCGATCTCATTACATCTGAATGTGTAGAGGTATATGAACTCTTTTAGAAGGTTTTTACAGGAGTTTAAAGTAGTACATTTGTTTAGTAACTGGGAGAATTTATTTCATATTTTCTTGGTTGCATATGTAAACCGTCCCAATGCCTTGGTGTCCCACTCCTGCTACAAAAGGGATGTTCCCATTCCTCCTGTTTCCCATTAAAAACACAGGGTGAATGGGACCACCTAGTAACTGGTGCCAAAGATGTGAACTCCAGCACAGTGATTTAACCACCTCCAAGACGTCAATTCAATATGAGCCCGTAGAAAAAGAAGAAAAGCTGGCCGCACACCGGGCAGGACACCAGTAATGTGGAACAAGCTTCAATAAACTATCCCAGTGGAATCCGGTGTGCGGCCTGCTTTTCTTCTGTTTTGTATGGGCTCATATTGGAGTGAGGACAAGCTCCCAGTGGCAAGCACCCGGCTCATTCCTTTTCCTGTGCCGCAGAGGAGCGGTGCTTTTTTTTTTTTCTAATATGAAAATTATGATTCTGACACAAAACATTATAAAAATATTTCCAACTGTAAGGAAGGTTTTTTTTGTTTACAATTTTGTACCTTTTTTTAACGCAACACTAAAAAAATTAATGAACAAAAGGCATTAAGATTAAAAAAAAGTTTAAAAATAATGGTTAGATGGTTAAATTGTGGTTAATAATAGTTCAATGATAGTTAAGGGAAGAAGAAGTTAATTAGGGCTCATTAGGAAAAACTAGTTTTCCCTTCAAATAAAACACAGATTGATGCCACTACGTAATTGTTTAAAATATTATTATTATAGAGGATTTATTTCGCGCCAGCTTTTCACTTTTCAATATAAGGGAGACATTTCAGTTACAATACAAATCAAGACAAGATAGTAAGGAGGATCCTGCCCATTAAATGCATTTTTAAATGGATCTAGTGTGAAGGTGGCCATACACCTTACAACCATCGCACGACTTTCGTTGTGCGATGGTTGTAAGGTGATTAAAATTTCATATGACCTGCCCATCTTGGACAGGCAAATCCTACTTGCGATCATCGCATGTCCTCCCCGCTGAGGGGAAGGCTTACAGATCATTGCAATAGTGAGTGGGCAGTGTGCGCCTGCGCATCTCGGCCCGCGTGGCTTTCGTCCTGCGATCGCGCTTCCAACCCGTCGAAAATCTTACGATTATCGGCTGTTTTTTAAGCGTGCTCGTAAGATGAAAGTCGTGCGACCGTACAGTATATGCGGTCGCACGCTGCCCATACACCTCAGGTCAGGTGTATGGGCAGCTTAAATGTCTGAATTTGTCCACGCACCAGCACCTGTCACTCCCTACTGGTACACAGTGTTATATCAGGACAGTTTATTGGAAGTAGGTGCTGAGTAGACTTATAGAATCTTGGAATTAGTGATGTCAGATCTGAGCTGTAATAAATCCAGGTACCGCTGTGTTCTATATTGGCCTTATTCAGACTGATAACTAAATATTCATAATCCCATACCAATTCTTCTTGTTTACAGGAAATGATAAATGTTCATGAGCACTACCAGAAAACGAAAAGTCTGACCAATGCGGATAAATCTGAGCCTGATAAGAGCTTGAGCTTGATAAAGGAAGATTTTACTGATAACCTGAACTTCTTGGTCTCCCAATATCAACACTGGAGACAGGATACCCGGGTAAGTTATATAATACAATACTGGGGTTCACCATACACCTAAACAGCTACTTATAACTCGTCATACACCATAGAAGCAATATGTATACTAAAGAAGGTATGGGCTACAGAATGTATAATGCACCCTTTACTTTCACTGTCTGCGAAGGGTTCAATGCCAGTCCTGTCTGATAAGGCCACACCCCAAATCTGCATACTGTTTAATTTTAAAAGTGGTTGAAAAGGTCACTTTCTTGGCAAGTGAAATATTCTTAAAATTAAAAATTATTTTAGCGGAAGCATTTATGTCATTTATAATCTGAATCATCTGAACTGTTTTCTTTTACCAGGCACCAAGGACTAAAAGTGATGAGGAGAAACAAGGGACTTCTCAGGACTCGGAGGTAATTATCTGCTTGTTAACATAACAAATCAAGCAGTTCTCTGGCCGAACAGCTAAATAGAGCTAGAATGCTACACCGACATAGGGAGAACGTGCAGTCTCTTTGCAGTGTCCTGGCTAACGTGTTAAGGCAGGGGTAGCCAAACTGCGGCCCTCCAGCTGTGATGAAACTACAAGTCCCATTAGGCATTGCAAGTCTCTAACAGCCACAGGCTATTGAGGCAGATGCATGATAGTATTTATAGTTTCCCCACAGCTGGAGGACCGCAGTTTGGCTACCCCTGTGTTAAGCTATCCATACGGGACTTGTTTCAGTGAATTCCTCCATCCACTCTAAACAGCATGGATGGAGGAATTTCCCCTTTCGGCTGTTGTATTCAGCAGCCCCAGCACCCTACAGGTGCCTGAATACAGTGGCGCTGCTGATAGGATGCTGTCACTGTTTGGCTGATACTTTTCCAGCCAACCCCGATTTTCTAAATCCGCTTTTGTGTCAAGCCGGGTGGTGCCTGCAGGGCCACCTATGGCTTAGATTGAATCAGCCAAATTTATCTATGACCAGCCTTAATGTGCTGTCTTTATATAAGAGTGTCCGTAGATACTGATACATTGGTACAGATGAGTGTGCCTGTGTTCAAATCTGTAATAGATTCAAAGGATGTCACCAGCAGATCAATATATTTGTGTTCAGCAAATGTCCGTTTTAATGACACAAGTACTTTCGGGGCCTCCCAGGGTCCCCTGCAAGGCCCTGAAAGTATTTGCAATTGAATGGCAATTTGTGTCATTAAAATGGACATTTGCTGAACACAAATAGATTGGTGTGCTGGTGACATCCTTTCAATCTGCATACTGTTCACGGCGCCAACCGTCATGGTCACTACAAGCACCCACCTGTATTTATTACAGAAATCCGGTAAGGAGTGCAGCAACATACATCTACTTTTTTGCAAATCTGTAATGGATCTTTCAGGATTCAGAGAACACACACCTTTCTAATGACTATCTGATATCTATGCACAATTTTGGACTTTTCCATAGTTTAAAGTTTGATGTCAGGGCGCATTAACACATGTGTTGTGGGTTCAAAGCAATCTCTGTTGTTGTATGTTTGGTGTTGTTTCCATCAAAATGCATCTCCATAAATATCAATGTGGGTAAAACGCTCCTGAAACTCATCAACTATGCATTACACCTCTCACGCATGTCAATGTACCTTATTGAAACACCTAATTTTGTGACTTGCCTTGTTATAGGTGGGAGCTACTCACTGAAAGGGTTAAACTGTAATTGCAAGCCAGATGTAATCATTGTAGACTCCCTGCAGTCCTGAAGTTATCATCTAATCTTCACTGATGGGTCTGTTTTTGTTTTTTAGGGCTCAGAGAGAGCAAGAGTTTTGGCTGCACTAAAATCCAAGTCTTATACTGCGGTGACTCAGGTAAGGCGTAAAGTATTTGTGGGGCTTATGTATAAGCTTGTCCGGGAGTTCAGCTCAGCACTCTGACATCATGTGATGGAATTATCTGGCTTCTGTTATCTCAGTAAAAGTATAGGGGCAAATCAGACTGTGGAGACTTATTACAAGTGGCAGTAGATTCCATTGAAGATTACACGACAATCTACATAGTTACATAGTATTCGAGGTTGAATAAAGACACAGATCCATCAAGTTCAACCCATTGTGTATATGCCTGTGATTCTGCATGGGTATGCGTGTGTATGAGTCCGTGTTTGATCATGTTCTTAAGTGCACCTGTAACCCCTGTATGTTATGGTCTCTGAGGAAATCGTCCAATTGCTGTTTGAATACTCCCAGCTAAAATCACCGCTTGCTGCAGCGAGTTCCAGACCCTAGCCGCTCTAACTGAGAAGAACCCCCTACGCCCCTTGTGCTGAAATACTTTCTGCACCAGTTTTAGGTGGTGTCCTCTAGTCTTTGTTATGGAGTTTACCGTAAAAAGTTTATGGCTGATGTTGCTATCACCATTCAACATCTTGTACATGAAAATCATGTCCCCCCTCAATCTCCGCACCTCCAGTGTGAACATGTTTAAATTTAATAACCTTGTCTCATAGCTTTGGTCTTCCAGACCCTTAATTAGTTTGGTTGCTCTTCTCTGGACTCTCTCCAGCTCCAGGAGATCCTTTCTGTAAATTGGTGACCAAAACTGGACCGCATACTCCAGATGAGGCCGAACCAGTGATCTATAAAGTGGCAAAATTATTCTAAAATGTTATTCACTCTTCAGATGGTTTATCTTTTGATTTTCCCACAGTGGTAATTAAGCAAAGATGCAAAATGTATGCTTATGAAAAATTTGCCAACAAAAACCATATAAAATGCACTAATAACGTCAGATAGGATTTTCTGGTGAAGCAATCAGTAATGGCATGCAACTAACATGACAATATATTAATATACAGAATAGTTTCATTTAAAAAGAGACACTGTTACCCTAAAAATATATCCTGTGTAATATGTACATAGCATATCTCTCTCTCCCTCCCTCCTATATTTGCCTGCTTGGCACAGGAAGTGAGCATAAACCTTTTGGGATTTAGTGTCATGTTAAACTACAGTCCAGCCAAAAAAGTTTTAGCTTTGAAAAGAGTAAGAACACAAAGGTAGAGCAGGGGAAGGCTAGAACCCCCTGTCTGCAATTTATTGCTATCTGTGTCCCAATTGCAGATTTTATCTCCCTCCCTTTCTGGTAAAACTGTTGTCAATGGGACAGAAGGTATTTTAAGTGGGAAATCTCTTTTTAACAGACTCCCAGATATCAATAAAAGTGGAGAGGTGCTCTTTGCCCTCCTCACTCTATTTCAAAATAACACACACAACGATATAGACAGGTAGGGGTGTATTCGCGTGTATATTATATAATCCTTTTCCCATCCAGGCTGCGAAGTCTAGACGGCACCGACAGGTCCAGCTGGCATCCTCCGAATCTGGTTCTGATTACAAAAGCACAAAATCAGAGAGAGCAAAAGCCAAACGAATGAAGCGTAAGGCAGACAAAGCGGCACAAAAGCAAGGTACTGTTTCCTTTTACACTGATATTCCAAAACTTTGTGTACTAGCTTGTCAGTCACAGGAACTCAATCGTCACTACCATGGGCTTATAGCTGCAATTTATGATGCCCTCTTGCATCCCAAGATAATATCCTCCACGATTGCAGTATCCAGGAACATGTCCTCATGCATGGTTGAATCTTATCAAAATCTTCTCCCTGTGCAGCCAGTGCTATTCTCATAAATCACTCCTTACTGCACACCCATCCTGCAGACTGTCCAACAGAGACAATTGCTGTCTTCCCTGCATGTCTACCACAAGAATTACTGGTGACCAGCAGCATGACGGGCTGTAATTAATTACAATTATTTATATAGTGCCAACATATTCCGCAGCGCTGTACAATTGTTTAGACAAGACAAGTAAAAAACACAGACCAGCATCGTTGACATACAAAAACAGTAGGTGTGGAGGAACCTGCCCAAAGGAGCTTACAATCTAAGAGATCACATGATCTAACAGCGCTGCTGGAGAGATGCGGGTAGAGTACAACAGAGGTATAAATATTACTCATTAGAATCAATATTTCTGACGTTGAGTGATAGACAGCTTACTAAGTGAGTTGTGTAATGAAACTGTCACAACTGTACACAATTATAGGGGTACTATTTAGGAAAACCACTAAATACATGCCTGACCTACATATATGTATTGAAGGGAATCTGTTACCTTTTTTGAGTGCATAAATGACAGGTCCTACTCCGCCACTTCCTTCCCACTGATAGTTACCTCCCCTGAGCTCATGCGCCACTTATGCCTTCTGTCAGAGCTGTAGTTCTATCACCTGTGTAAGATCCATAGCACTCCATGTATGGTCGTACACGGAGCTTACGACCATCTTCCCTCCCCCATATGTTAGTGTTCAGGCTTGCAAATTATACACTCGGGTATCCGGGGAGTAAGATGATGTCACATGCGCCCCTATAGCTACAATCACCAGATATGTACCAAAGGCTCTGGCGGAGCGAAGGAGTGGTGGAGGATTGCAGGAAAAGTAAGTATCAATGGGAGGGGGGATTCAGTAGAATACGTTACTTTGCCCCCAGTGTGCAAGTGACATTTTCACTTTAACTGCCAAAGAAATTGTGATTCTGTTCAGCCAGTTTGGTGATTTTCACACCGCATGAATCTACATCATCACACTGCTGACGCATTCTTCAATAACATAGGAAATAGCAGTGTCATGATACCAACTGTGAATTGTGGCAGAGGTGTGTAAATCACAAGAGTGGCTGAATACAATTACAAATCCCTTGGCTTTTAAGCCGTTCACATATTGTATTTGAACTGTAAATTTAACTGTCTGCGCAAAGGTCCATTAGAATACTTCTTATGCCAGCACTAAAGTTCTTTTTTTTTTTCTCCTCGATTCCCAGCCAGTTTTAATAATACCGACCCTTGAAATATGCAGAGGCTCTCTGTCTGCTCTCGAAGTTCTCACACTTTTTGTTGATCTGTATTGCCACTGCTATAATTAATGTGCAGATAATGGCGCACCAGATATGAAGCAGAATTCAAAATCAACTCTCAAGCCATTTTCAAACAAGTATGGGAAGGTGTATACTAGGAAAGCATCAGTTCAGGGTGGGTGCAGGTCTGGCTGCTTTACTCACTGGCTTCTACATTTGGGAGAAGCTTGAGCATCAATGTTCTTCATTTCTCTATCTGCATTCTCTGTACAGTGAGACTGTCAATGGAAGAAGGTGAGCAAACAGCTGCAAGGATAAAGTGCATGCACCTAGAAATGCCTCTACATACATACAGGTGAAACCCGAATAATTAGAATATCGTGCAAAGTTAATTTATTTCACTAATGCAACTTAAAAGGTGAAACTAATACTGTATATGAGATAGACTCATTACATGCAAAGCAAGATAATTCAAGCCGTGATTTGTCATAATTGTGATGATTATGGCTTACAGCTCATGAAAACCCCAAATCCACAGCCCCAAAAAAGTAGATTATTACATGCAATCAATAAAACAAGGATTGTACATAGAACAATATCGGACCTCTGAAAAGTACAAGCATGCATATGTACTCAGTACTTGGTTTGGGCCCCTTTTGCAGCACTCACTGCCATTACTTTTGCACGATATTCTAATTATTCGAGTTTCACCTGTACATACATACATACATACATACATACATACATACATACATACATGCAGCAGCCTTCCAAACCTTCATTTCAAAGCCAAATGCTGAACCCTTGTAACAGACTAAGCTTCCATATCAGGGTAGTCTTTGGGTTTGCTGCTAATTGCTGCCTCAAGCTTTCCTATCGGCCCATCACTCTGATAGGTAGCCTCACTGGCCCATGGGAATGTGCAGGAAGGAGCTGGCAAGCGTCAGCACAGCTTTGCGTTTCAGTAAAGAGCGGAATTTGGCTGTGATGGGGGGGGTTTGAGAAGGTGCTGCTCGTACTTCCACCCAGTGACAGAGTCTCTTTAAATGACTGCAGTAGGTGATTGGAGCCGGGAAACTGCAGAGATCTTTCTGCTAGAGTCCCTCGAGAGACATTTAAATGTTTGGGCGCCTTAACCTACAGAAATATCAGCTTTAGAGGATATTAAAAACCACAGTTCTGCATGCATGAATGGCACACCAGATTAATATCGATCTTTCTGATGCAGCTTACCTTTCTTTGACGAAGAAGAGGAGGTCTGTAAATATGCCAGCGATTTCTGAGGAGGATTCATCTTCCAGCAATGAAGGTGGGAACATTTATTTGAGTAATCATTTATCATATCAAGGCTTCTTATATATGCCAATACCAGTCATGTATTGTTTGACTAGTAAGTTGGATAGGTAACATATATAAATTAACAGAGCAGGTTCAGCCACCCAGCTGCGTAGTCACCTGAAGGCAGCACAAGCACACACCAGGTTCAAACCGAGAAGAACATAGCTGATTTGCGCTGACCTGGCAATAGGGAAAAGTCTTAGGAGCAGGATTCCCCTCCTGGATCTACTGCTGGGACCTGAAGCATAAACTAGTAAGCCTTTCACAGTGCAGTTTTATTTTATCAATTGGTGCTGAAAGAAAACCTGTTGGAATAAACATAGTGCCCCAGGTATATTGGAAGTAGGTGGCTTGCTGCGCTTGAAGTCTGAAGGGCCAATCATTAGGTCCAGGTCCAGGAAGGCTATAGGGCTTGCTGTTCACTGTGGAGTATAATTATCGACAATACTAGGTGACAGTTGCCAGTCACTTTGGAGGGGTGGCGGCAGAGATTTGAACTGTGTGGAGGAGAAGCCTGTATGCCTTTGATATCCCTGAATGGCTTGGTAAGCTTGATAGATTGCTTAGTACTGTAATCTCAGCTAGAGATTGGTATAGATTACATTTCTGCAGCGAATGTATTAGGGATGCACCGATACCGAGTATTTGGGTGACTACTCGTATTGCCCAAATGCTTCGATCTCCCTCTGACCGTCAGTGACGAGGGAGCATGAAGCTGGCTTCTTTTCCGATCAGAAAGCTGGGCGGTGGATTTTGACGGCATGTAATGACCCGCCTCCCGGCTTCCTGATTAACCGCCCAGCCAATGAGGAACCGCCCAGCTTCCTCATTGGCTAGGAAGCCAACTTAACTTGTTGGTAGACAGCTTGGCTTCCTAACCAATCAGGAAGCCGGCAATTGTTGCTAGGCAGTCTGGCTTCTTCACCAATCAGGAAGCTGGAGGAAGCTGGAAGGCTCATGACTCGCTGCTCGGCTTCCTGATTGCTCAGGAAGCCAGACAGCCTCTGGAGCAGGTGTTCTTTTGCTAGAACACCGGCTTCACAGGCAATCGGGAAGCTGGGCGACGATTCATGATCTGCCGCCAGACTTCCTGATAATCGGGGCACAAGGCACCGGTACTCGATATCTGCGAGTTCTGAAAAGAAATATCGGTACTCGATACCGAAAAAACGGTTTTGGTGCATCCCTAGAATGTATATCACACCTACCAAGATGAATAAAATAGGCCCATCCAAAGCACAACTGAAGAATTGAAAATGGCACCTTTCTACAGATGTTCTGGTCCCAAAATGTATAACTATTGGATCAGTACGCTCCTGTGATGGTTCACAATCTCATGTTTAGTTTACTCATTTGTATTGAGATTGTAGTTCGTCATGGGAGCAAGTTTGGAGCGGTGACTACTTTACAACACACACAGGGACCATGGGGAACAAAAGTAGCCCTCCTCCAGAAGGAAGGACAGTGTCACCACCAATTCAGAGATGATTTGAGGATCTACAGCCGAGTGACACACAAATAAGAGACATTTTTAGTAATAGAACTCCTGAGTTTAGTGTCACTTTAAGCATCACGTCTGCATAGGAACACCCACACCTCCAGAGGCATTTTGATATTTGCAAAACTTCTCCCAAGGGCCAACCCACTGCTTGCATCACGGCCGAGAGGGTGCTTTGCTGTTTTCAGGAAGCCCTGTACTGTACCGTGTACCTGCCAGCCCCTTTCATCAGCCATGATCTGCATGTATTCTGTAAAGAACCATAACGACCCAGTGATGAAGTCACTGGGTGTAATATAAGATATATGATAACCACAGAAAGGTATCATTTAAACATTTCATTAGCATTTTGAAAGGGGTAAGGCAAAATATAAGCAGATTAAACTTCAGCTTTAAACCAGCTCAATTAAGACATTTTTTTTTCTTTTGGATAAATACATGAGTAAAAATGTAGATTTGTATTTACTTGTTGTTATATAATCTCTGTATTTACTCCTTATGCTTTGTTTCTCTTTTTTTTTTTTTTTACAGAAATTCCAGTCAAGAAAAAGAAAAGAAAAAATTAAATGTTTTGAATACGGCTCTTCTCTCCTGTGCACCATACTGGGATAAGGAGTCGGCAATACAAAATATTTGTATATAGATTTATTTATATTTTTTTATTTTTGTAAATTGAGTTCATGTATGTAAGACTGTAGCTTGATATCACTCCCTTTGGTTAATAAATGAAGGCTCAAATCTCTCCTGATTGAACTTTTTAAATACAAATGGGTTATAGTATACGGACCTTATGATTATCCGTTCCAGTTCCTACATTATTCTCAAATTAATGGAAAACTGGTCGTCTTTTTTTTTTTAATTTTTTTTAATCCCTTCTAATTTTCTCAATGTTGGTCCAACATGTTTTCATATACAGCAAGGCCAATAAGTCTTGGAAATATACATCAAAACGTATTACCCCTGTGTATGTAAAATTTCATACATCAAATTGTTAGCGGAACCCCTGCGCAGATTGAATCCAGTAAACTATTAAAAAACATTATAAAAATTAATAAAAATGCATTGATAACCTAAACATTTTCCACTTGGGTACACTATAGAAGGGTTAGATCCAATGTCAGGTTTTTATGGCCCCTATCATTTGTCCTAGTGATGTGCTGGGGCTTGGTGCAAACCGAGCTCACCCAAGCCCGTACAAAACTGACACACCCCGCCCCAGGCCCTATGATTTGCAGCCAGGGCATTCCCTGCCTTCAGCTACATGTCAAAAAGGAGCAGGGAATGCCTCTGCCACAACTGACTGGGCTGGAAGGGTGGGTGTCTGTCACCGTTTTGGGTGGGTTCGAATGAACTCAGGCAAACTTGGTTCCCCCACACATCACTACTAGTGACCATTGTCACTGGGACAGAAAGTAATGGGAATCCAATATTTCACAGTTGCTGCTGGAACAAGATTGAGGGGAAATCTTCCAATGGGAACATCTGTTTAATTGACAACTAAAAATGGATTTTTACTCGCGTTGGAAAGGCTTCCTTCCACTTTCTGTGTTGTCTCCAGGGCAGGAAGTGAATGAGAATCTCCTCAAAAATCTTGGAGTTTATTCATTTCCTACTCCTTTCCACAAATGTAAAATGTTTTTGTTTCACATATAGTTTTAGGAGACCCTGTCTGGTCTCTAAAAGGTTAAATCGAGCACTCCCCTGCAATACAGGTGAAACTCGAATAATTAGAATATCGTGCAAAAGTAATTGCAGTAAGTGCTGCAAAAGGGGCCCAAACCAAGTACTGAGTACATATGCATGCTTGTACTTTTCAGAGGTCCGATATTGTTCTATGTACAATCCTTGTTTTATTGATTGCATGTAATATTCTACTTTTTTGAGGTTGTGGATTTGGGGTTCTTGGGGTTTTCATGAGCTGTAAGCCATAATCATCACAATTATGACAAATCACGGCTTGAATTATCTTGCTTTGCATGTAATGAGTCTATCTCATATATTAGTTTCACCTTTTAAGTTGCATTAGTGAAATAAATGAACTTTGCACGCTATTCTAATTATTCGAGTTTCACCTGTAGAAGCCAGCATATACTCTCCTTCCAGGTGGCCTGTTTCTCCTACCTCTTCTCCATTCCAGGGCTGCATACTCTAAAAGGCATTTGACACTTGCAGGAGTGTTAGATACGTGAGATCATCCCCTGCATGCTGTGGTTCCTTCGCCTGACCCCTATATCAACGCAGAGTCTCCTATAGTGACGTAGGAGATCAAAGGAAGAAACCAGCTTGTGCCAGGGGACACAGGTATCTGACATTTCCAGCAGTGTCAAATGCCAAAGAGGCATAATGAGGCTTGCGGAGGCTGAAACAAAGGAGAGGGGAAATGGGCCATCGGATAGATCACTATGTATGGTGTCCCCTAAGAGACCTCCTGCATGTATTCGAAGGCAAAAGGCTGCTTTTAATCTGCTCCTTTTGCAATGTAAAGTCGTGAACACATCTTAATTTGGACATTCTGCATCCAGGGGAGTACAAAGCAGGTCAAATACTGACTCATGACTGTCATCCACACTGTACCACTTAGGTAAATGGAAATATGCTGACCTGCATATGACGTGCAATTCAGACTCCCCTCACAGGTAAACACCCATATACACAAGCTCTGTATGTATATTAACTTACAAATACCATAAGTACCTGAATCAGTCTTTTAGTAACTGCCTGCACTCCCCAACAGAGCAGCACTTGTAGATGAAAGGTTAACAACCTCAGTCAATCAAGACTCTATTCCTTTTAACAGTGCTGTCACTCTAACATAAGAACCATGCGTACAGGAGTGGGGCAACATCTGCTACTTCATTCACAGACTCACTGACACCTTATGCCACAGACTGGGCCAGGTCCTGGACCATGCCTAAATGCAGTGTATCCCGTAGGATGGGCTTAAACCTGTGTGAGGTGCCTGAAAAGGAACCTGGATTTCATGATTACCTAAAGAAAATTACAAATCCTATGGCAAGTCAACCGGTTATATACAGTAAGTATTTCAACTGTGCCTATAGCAGCCGACCTGCCTTCCCTGTGTTCATTTATTTTATTTACATTTTTTAATATTACAGACTCAGCTTATGCATTCGATAGCCACTTTATTGGGTACACCTGATATATGAATGCAAACCGTAAATAATACATGTAGACAGGAGGTTCAGATCTTATTCATAAAGACTTTAAAACAAAACATACTCTAAGGCTGGATTCACACTTTTCCGTATGCACGCAAAGCATGTAGTAACGCATATGCATAAGTGTGAACAGACCCATGTATTTATTTATTCCCAGATAATTTTTGTACAAGTCATTCCGCATATAGAAAGCTGGTTGGATGACCAGTGAAAAATACAGCAAATCCAGTTGCCTTGACTTATTTTTTACAGATATACCATGGCCTGGATGAATGAGAACCTTCACAGACCCGTGTAATTTCCATCTCCTTTGCAAACTAATCTGATGTGCATAGATGTAAATCAACCATATAGCAAAGAAAGGAATTTCTACTTGTAATGCATTTTAATGCAGGAAAGCACATGTGTCTTGCTGCATGAAAGCGGACAAGTGTGATTGAGCTCTAAGCGGCTTTGACCTTGATGCCAAAGGAGGTGGATGCAGCATCTCAGAAACAGCTGACAATCTAGGATTTTCAGAGGCTCCAGACCACTAGGCTGATGAGTTGTGGAAAGTATTGAAGCTAGAACATCAGTATGGCAGCCAGACTAGTATTTTTGTTTCTCTGATGACAGGTTTAGTTTAAAGAGATTGCGCCAGGCATACATGGACATTAGGTAGTGTAGGCACAGGGTAGTGATGTCATTTCCTGCCATTAGAATTATTCCACCAGCACCTGATTGATTTTGAACTTCACTGGCCTTAAGGCCTGGTTCACACCTGGGCGTTTTTCAGCGCTGATCGAAGCGCTGAAAAACGCTCAAACAGTGTAATCCCATATTTCCCTATGGGCATGGTTCCCACCTGGGCGTATTGCAGCACGTGGAAACGCGCTGAAAAACGCCCTACGCCCAAACAAGTACAGGAGCTTCTTTGGGGCGTTTTTCCGCGCGTATCCATTGGTATTCCCGAGTGTGGCTCGGGGTTAACAAAGCGGTAACCCCGAGCCACACTCGGGAATACAGCGTAGGACTTACCTTGTCCGCGATCGCCACTGTGTCCTCCGACGGCTGCCGACTTCCGGGTTCCATCCCTTGCTAGCGGCCGCGTCGGAGGGGGGTGGAACCGGCAGGAAGTTTGGAAGTTAAAAAAAAAAATATAGAAAATAATAGGAAAAAAAATCATACCGCCAGTGAAACGTGCGTTTCACTGAACGGAATAACGTGAGAAAAACGAGCAGAAAAAACGTGCCTATGCTACGCCGGGGTGTGAATCCAGCCTTAAAGAAGGGTTTTGTTTTCTGCCACAACATTTCACTCCTTCCTCGAACAATGAGAGAACCATTGGGCAGCTGTCCAATCGGAGCTTTACAAGCATGAAATGCTGACTCAGACTTCTCAATCCTGCATAGAATGGAGTTCAGACATTTTTGCATTCGCCCTTACTGGTGATCCAAGTCCACTTGTCATATGATTAGGCCATCGTAATCTGGCATTGTCACAGTTCATTAAATAACTGACTACCACTACCAAGTAAAAGTCACGGTACAAAAGAGTTTTCCTTTATAGGTGTGTATGAAATGTAAAGGTGGAGATTCATCAACAGATCCTTCACATCCATTTTAAGTCCATGTTGGGTGATTCACCATCACTGACAGAGCAACAAAGAAAAGTTATATATATACCGGTCAGCCATAACATTATGACCACTGACAGGTGAAGTGAATAACATTGATTATCTCATTACAATTGCACCTGGAAGTGAGTGTATTAGTAATAGTCAGCAAGGAACATTTTGTCCCTGAAGTCCATGTGTTGGAAGCAGAAAAACAAGAGAAACAAGGTATGCTAAAGGTGCCCATACACCTTACTATTATCGGACGAAACGTTTCGTCCGATGATCGAATAGTCGTGCGATTTTCGTACGGCAGCCCCATCCTGCCCCGATGATCGCAAGATTAATTTAGCCGTCATTAACAAAAAGCACCTGGACGAAATGCGGTAATTGATTTGTCGTATTTTCGTGCGCAGTGTATATCGTACGACTTTTGACGGACGGAAACGCCAGCAACCTTACGACAATCGTACGATCTAGCAAAGTTTTCAAACATGCTTGACCGTCAAAAGTCGTACGATTGTACAGTAATGTCGGTTCGGGCACTCTATTCACACTTACGGTTGTTGTTCGAAAAGTCGATCGCATACGATTATCTTACGATAATCGTAAGGTGTATGGGCACCTTAAGAATACAAAGCCTGCAGTTATCTAAAAGTATGTGTTTGTAGACTGTCATTACTAAACATTTCTAAAACTCCGTTCACACTGGGGAGGTACAGCCGCATGGATCCGCCGACATGAATGATCCCATACATTGCTACGGGGACCATTCATGTGACTGCGCGGGGTCCGTGCCATCCAAACCGCCCTCCGCCCGAACTGCTCCCTGCACTATTTTTGCCGCGTTGATTAGTGCGGTTTCCATACAGTTTTCAATGGAACCGCGCTCATCAGCGTGGTTTTGGGCGTTTTTTTATTTTGTTTTAGTGCTGAAACTCAATTAAAAACTTGCAAAACCTACCTTTTTGGATCAGCGCAGTAAATGTGCTGATCCACAACCGGCCTGGTGTGAATGGGCTCTAAATGTGTGTTTGTTCTTATTTTAAAGATATACGTAAAGTTCTGCTTTAATGCTGGTTCTGATAGAAAGGTGTCTAAACACACAGAGCATCGTATTTTGTTGTGTATGGGTCTGTGTGGCCGCAGACCGGTCAGGGTGCCTATACTGACCCATATCCACCATCAAAGATGCCTACAATGGGCATATGAGCTTCAGACCTGGACCACGGAGCAATGGAAGAAGGTGGCCTGGTCTGATGAATCCCATTTTCTTTTGCACCATGTGGCTGGCTGGGTGCGTGTGTGTTGCTTACCTGGGGTAGAGGTGGCACAAGAATGCACTATGGGATGCCAGCAGAGGCAGTGTGATGCTGTGTGCAATATTCTGCTGGGAAACCTTGGGGCCTGCCATTCATGTGGACGTTACATTGACACGCACCACCTACCTAAACATTCTTGCTGATTGTAAGGTTTATGGCAAGCTTTACAGGACCTAAAGGATCTGCTACCGACGGCTCGGTGCCAGATACCACAGCATACCTTTAGAGGTCTAGAGGAGTCCATGCCTCCAGGGGTTAGAGCTGTTTTGGCAGCAAAAGTGGGACCTACTCAATATTAGGCGGTTGATCATAATGTTATGGCTGAACAGTGTATAAAGAAACACCGCTGTACTACCAGTGGCGTCACAAGGGGGGTGCAGCCCACACCCGGGTGCCACCATTGGAGGGGTGACACCAAAATGACTGGCAGTCATTTTGGTGTCACCCCTATAAAAAGTCAGGCACTCGGTCACGGACTGAGAGCCTGACAGTGTCAGGAGAGCGGAGGGGACTCGGCTGCATACCTTATCCCACCGGGTGAATGTCCCCTCCTCCTGTTTTTTGTTTGTTTATTTTCATAATAAATTATTATTTTTGTATATATCATATATGGCAGCTATATTTAAGGGTTGGCTCATATACAGGTTATATTATAAGTTTGTTGATTGCTATAAACAGGTTAGGAATTAAATGTGTTGAATTGATACCAGGGATTCCAAACTTACAAGGGCTTGGCTAGCCATTTTTGGTGTAAGCCCCATCACACTTACCAGGCAACAAGCATTTTCAGAATGATGGGTGATCTGCATTCTCCTCTTTAAAGGTTTTCATTTTTTCATGCATAGCAATCATTAAAATGATCAGCTGACAACTACAGATCATCAGAACTACTGGTGATTTATGATCATCTCTACAGTGTGTCAGCCTTGTGCTGAGTGATGAGAGGAGTGAGAAGCGCTGAGCTATTGAATATCACCAGCAGCTTTATCGATCCCCATCTTTTAGCGATCTCCCTGTCCTGGGATTTGTATGGCTCAGCTCAGAAAGATGAAGAGCTGTGAGATCTGAGCTCCTGGACTGCCATAGTAATATGAAGCCTCGCAGCATCCTCCATACTCCTCCCTGCAAGCTGGACGGGTAGGAGGACCACAGCCGACGCCGCTGCTGCCTCTGCGAGCACCATGGCCACAGACAGTAAGTAGCACAGTGATGGGTGACAGCCAAGGGAAGGGATGGTGCAGTCATTTTGTTTACATCTGAACAGATCCCAGCCCCTTTCTGGCAGAGCTATAATAGGATGCAAGGATCAGGTTAGACATTATATATACTGTCTTCTCTCTTCTGTGCTTGCTGCAGCGCTTATAGAGTGTCATTAGCTGTGTTCCATAGAGGATGCATGCAGATTTAGGTGTATGTGCTGTATGTGCTGTGCTTCATGCAGACTAGTTGTGATTATGACATGGAGCAATGATTTGAAGAGATCCGAGCCTTCTCCATGTAGGCTACTGTATATGTAATTATAGTTGAATCAAGGTGATGGTCTATATGATTCCTAGACGTGTTGATGGATTGCTTGGCTCAGGGTATCCATTGTATATGTTGTGCTTTGTGAGGCATCCAAGCTGCAGTGTGTACCTTTAATGCAGTGGAATTTGATACTGAAGATGGACCTGCTATGGAGGATTTCTCCTCCAGTTACATCACCTTGCATTTAAAGGGTCAGTTGACCTAAAAGCAATGTTTGAGATTCAGGAAGAGGCTCCTGAGTTGAAGGGGGTCTAAACACTATCCCTGAAATCTCATATATAATTTAATGTCGTTTCAACAGTTCATTTTAAATCTGCGGCTTTCATTGAAGTAGATGATAAACCTTAGATGTGAGGTCTCATTGGTTCGCCTTATCTTTTCAGCAGCAAGAAAGACAATCGGTAAGGTCTGGAAGCAACCCACATTGAACTTTGGCAAAGTTAAACAAAGATCAATGAGCACTGTGATTAAATGAGAAGCTTACTGCTGTTCATAAAGTGACACTAAACTCAGGAGTTAAATCTTAAAAATACATTCAAGTACCTTAACTATTAACAAAAATGTATCTTATTTGTGTATAACTCGGCTGTAGATCCTCAGATCATCTCTGAATCGCTGCTGACACTGTCTTCCTTCTGGAGGGGGGCTACTTCTGTCCCCAATAGTCCCTGTGTGTGTTGTAAAGTAGTCACAGCTCCAAGCTCACTCCCTTGATGGACTACAATTTCAATACTAATTAGTGAAGTAAACATGAGATTGTAGGCCATCACAGGAGTGAGCTTGGAGTGGTGGCTACTTTACAACACACACAGGGACCATGGGGAACAAAAGTAGCCACCCTGCAGAGATGATTTGCGGATCTACAGCTATACATACAGAGTGATACATAAAGGCACTTAAATGTATTTTTAAGATTTAACTCCTGAGCTTAGTGACTCACATGCCAAATTTCTCAAAATCTGGTCCCCGTGGATAGAGTACCACTGTGCAGGTGGCTTTAATCCTCCCATTCTGCACCTTTTGACCTCGCTCTGGTGGAGGTTTCCCCCCCTAGTTAGCTTTTTCTTCCTTCTCTCCTCCTTTCTACTTCTTGTAGCTTCCTTCCTTCTTTCAGTTCTTCCGTTTGTTTTTTTTACTTACACCCTTTTTTTCAAATAATTTTTATATTATACTCCTTGGTACTGTGTACCTTTTGTTGGTTGGTGCCGTGCTGCACCTTTGACTTGGCACCTTCCCCCTTTGGTGGCAGTTTTTTCCGATGGTGCTTAGCTTTTTCTTCCTTTTTTCTTCTTCTTGCTGCCTCCTTCCTTCCCTCTCTACTTCTTTTGGTTCTTCCCTTTTTTTTATTACTCCCCGCCCCCCCCTTTTTAATATATTTTTAATATTTTACTTCTTGGTAGTGTGTTCCCTTTGTTGGTTCCACTGTATTTAATCCTATTCGGCTTTGGGGCGACCCCTTTGGACTGTGTCCCTCGGGATGCCTTGCAGCACAGCCATTCCCACCATCGTAACGGGGTACTTTGTCATCTACTATCCTTTGGCTAATGCCGGGGAGAGACTGGACACTGGTTGTTCTCTACACTTTGTGACACTTCTGGATATTACTTTTGCCTCGTCATATCCTTGTGTTTTACCATGTGTTATCTTAGATTACTACTGTTTACTGAATAGGACACCTATGGTGGTAGCTTTCATTATTGTTCCGTATCTATTGTCTGTATCCTTTGTTAAAAACCCAATACATTTTTTGTAAAATAAGTAGATGCTAACCCAGTCACTAAGCTTTCATGTAAGATTTCACATTTATGTCATTTTGAGGGTTCGTTGAATCTTTTTGAATTGCTGCTTTTGTTAGAATAATACCTGGTGATCCTGCCATGAAGTACTTTGTTCAAGCACTTCCTGTTATGGGGTGACAACTGTTTTCCAGATGTGCTACTGCGTTATCATCCTGTCACATGTCCAATGTGTGGCACACTGCACTCCTGACCCGTATACTGGGTGCTGAAATGACTGAGGATGGCACCGCTAAGATCAATGGAGATCCAAGATTCCAGCAGCACAGCAAAGAAATGTGTCTAAATAAAACGTCTTTATTGACACACTCACATATTGTCACAAGTAGGGATGCACCGATACCGAGTATTCGCCCAAATGCTCTGATACCTTCCCCGATACTGGAACTTCCGGTCAGAGGGAGATTTCCTCTGACCGGCAGTGCCGCTAGGGAACATGGAGCCGGCTTCCCGGCCAGTCAGCATCGATCTGGCTAAACAGCATGGTGCCGGCTTCCCGGCTAAGCAGGGAGCTGGGTGGCGGGTATGACCCACCTCCCGGCTTCCTGATTGGCTGGGAAGCCGGCTCCATGCTGATTGGCTGGGAAGCTGGCTTTCTGGGCAATTAGCATCGAGCCAGCCAAACAGCCGGCTCATTGCTGATTGGCTGGGAAGCCGGCTCCCCGGCCAGTCAGCATGAATCTGGCCAAACAGCATCGAGATGGCTTCCCAGCCAATCAATAAGCCGGGCGGCGGGTAATGACCCACCTTTCATCTTCCTCATTGGCTGGGGAGCCAGCTCCATGCTGGTTGACTGTGAAGCCGGCTTCCCGACCAATCAGCATGGAGCCAGCTTCCTGGGCAATCAAGAAGATGGGTGGCAGGTAATGACATGACGCCTGGCTTCCTGATTGCCCAGGAAGCCGGCTCCATGCTAGTGAAAGAACCAGTATCAGCAAGTACCGAAATATTAATATACTGTGCAGGGTCCCTTCACCAGGCTCAGTATGACCTCAAAGTCATATTGAGCCTGATGAAGGGACCCTGCGTTGCCTTGAAACATTGTCATCTTTGTGACAATATGCGAGTGTGCCAACAAATACATTTTATTTGGACACATTTCTTCAGTGATCTGTGGAATCTCCTACCATCACCCTGTCACATGACCCCATGGGGAGGCCATAAGATTTTTTGCGGACATGTTTGGTGCAGACATAGTCCGCCATTGTCACTCTCTGGAAGCCGGCCCTTAGCAATGATGTGCAGCTGTAGCGTGTAGGCATGTAGATATGAAGTGGCTGTAAGAGGCAGGAGGAGATCAGCAGCACAGAGTTGCAAAGAAGGATGGAAAAGAGTTGAAAATGTATTTTATGATACACAGGGCTTTAGCAAACTTAATGTCATCCAGTTCAATACAAGAGGCAGTGTAGTCTTCCTTGAATCTTGGTGAGCTTTGTGTATTTCTTCCAGATCTGTTCGGTAATCCAGTGTGAAACTTTGCCTCTGTGCAGGAACTTCCTGTAATAAAGACCGGTCACTGCTACTTTTTCAAAGTAATAGCCGGGTTTGCAAAGGCATTTGGTGCACACAAAGTGGATTTATATCCTTTGTGTCTATTGAGAAATATATTTAATTATTTTTTTAATTTTTTTGCCTCAAGTTCAGCTTTAAGTTCCTTCATTAAAGTAGTTTTTTACATTTATCTAATGATATTCAAAAACATTTAAAAAAAGTTACCAAACAGGTAAAAACTTACCTCTGTTCCGGCTGTAGAAATCAGCTTCCCCGAACGGACGTGCAGGAGGATGTGCGGGGG